GCAGGAATGTACTATTGAGATTATATCCTGCTTGTGGGCCCAAAGTCCATGGGAAATAGATTGCTGGACTAAGAAGGCTTTTGATCTTGTCTAGCACAACTCTTACTTTCTGTAACTCATGCAGTGAAACAATCCTAGATTCAGTCCTTTGTAGCATTAGTTTATTTCACAATCAGTAGTGAGATGAAAAAAAGGGGAAATATCCTAGCCTGCATTAGATGAATCAGGTTGAACATAGTAAAAGGTTATTTAAAAAGGATCAAATTCCTTTTAGAACTGATGAAAGAAAAAAGGGAAACAGGACATGTTTCTGATATAATAATCTCAATGTGTACAACACAAAAGTGCTTCTGTAAATTTAATGTGTGTGTTATTTGATTAATGCAATGTTAATGCCTTATACTCCTTTATTTCATACATATGTCATATGCGGTCTTATTCCTTTGTTCTTCATAAGGAAAGTTTCCCGTTTTAACCAATGTAACCATCTGGTGATGTCAGGTGGTCACCTTGTTTGCCTCTGTTGTAATACTGGCCTTTCATATGGAGTGCATCTTGAATCTGTTACAGAATGAGTTGCTGTATAGTCAAATTGTGCAAGAAAATTGAAGATGAATAATATATTTGTGCTTGGAAGAAATTTTGTTTATATCATTTAGAACTTTATGCTTAAATTTGATGCTGTATTATAATGTAAATTGAAATAGTACTGCATGATTTATTTTTTAAATAATTCAGTAAAAGTTTTATTATTTGAAAACTGATGCCAGATTTTTCTTTGGGAATATCCAGCGTACTGGAAAGAAGGAACAGTCTGCTTCTTGTGGAAAAAGGGTGTTGATACTTACCTGATACACCCTTTCTCTGTGAGCTGTGAAGAGCATCCAGTGATGGGAAGATGCTTCAGTCTCTTCTAGGAAGGCTGGGCTTAAACTTGAGGATGCTCCTCCTCCTCGAAACTCCTCCTTAGCATCCCCAGTTTTGCAAAACCGAAGTATTGATACCCTATATGCTTCAGCCTATGTAATAACCCTGGCCGGAACAGACCCCCCCGCACCAGAATGAAAGGGTGGGGCTGGATGCTCTTCACAGCTCACAGAGAATGGGCGCATCAGGTAAGAACCAACACCCTTTCTCCCATGAGTTGTTCAGAGCATCCAGTGATGGGACATACCAAAGCTTGGCACTGTCCTAAGAGAGGGACTCCATCTGGGTTGCAGACCTGTCTCTGAAATAACTTGCTACAGAACTCGCCTACCAAATGAAGCCACAGCAGAAACAAATACATCAATTTTATAATTTCTAATAAATGGAGATGGAGAAACCCAGGTTGCAGCTCGGCAAATCTCCTCTATTGTAGCTTGGGTCGCCCATGCTGCTGTGATGGCTGCACTCCTGGTGGAGTGAGCAGTAATGCCTTGGGGCACTGGTATCGAGAGAGTCATACGACTTAGCGAAGGTGGCCCTTAGCCATCTACCTATGGTAGAGGGTGAAACCTTGCACCCCAGGGTGTTAGGCTGAAAGAACACGAAGAGGGCTTCTATCCTTCTGGAGGGCGGCATGCACTCTATGTAGATGGGTAAGGCCCTTCTTACATCCAAGCGGTGCCATTGGTATTCGAGCCTGTGTGATGGACGTGAGCAAAAATTTAGGAGCACCAGCTCTTGAGCTCTATGGAATGCTGAATTAACTTTTGGAATGATGGAGGGATCTGGTCTGATATGACCGATGATGGGATCCTCCACAGTGGTACCATCGAGAGGTCCTTCAGGTCCACGAACCATGCTCGCCTTGGCCAATAAGGAGCCACTAATAGTAGGTCCGCTTTTTCTTCCAGCAACTTCTGAATCAATTTGGGGATCACGGGGATGGGAGGAAAGGCGTAGAGCAGTCCGGTGGGCCAGTGACATCTGAGGGCGTTCACATCCTCCGCTCCCTGCAGTGGGTAATGAGAAATGAATCGGGGAAGCTGTGCATTGAGTGGGGAGCAAACAGGTCAACAATAGGTTGGCCCAACCTCAGAGTAGCCTCCAGAAAGATCTTGGGGTCCAGACACCAGCCTGATTGGTCTAACATGGCTCTGCTGAGCCAATCTGCTTGTACATTCGCTACTCCAGATATGTGTTCTGCCTTTAGAGAGAGAAGATGGATTTCGGCCCACAGGAATAGTCTTTCTGCTTCCCTCATTAGTAGATTGGAATGAGTGTCCCCTTGTTTGTTGATATGGGCCTTTGTAATTATGTTGTCTGTTAAGTAAGCACATGTTTTCAATGGAGATGTGGGAGGAATTGTCGGAGTGCCAAGAACACCACTCTCAGTTCTAGCCAGTTGATATTGTGTGCCTTCTCTGAATCCGTCCAAAGGCCTTGCGCTGTATGTGATTGGAAGTGGGGGCCCCATCCCACTAGACTGGCATCTGTTGTAACAATCGACCTGTGTGGATCCTTGAAAGAGCATCCCTTGTTGATTTCGGGTCGTGTCCACCATCATAAAAACCTGAGGACGGTTGATGGAACTTTTATGCGAGTCTTGGCATCGTCTCTCCTGGCGCATTGGTATGGCAACAGGAACCATTCCAGGGTTCTTGCATGGAACCGGGCCCAAGGGATAATAGAAATACAAGAAATCATTTTTCCGAGCAATTTAGAAAGGAGACATAGTTGTACTTTCCTAAGAGTTCTGATCTGTTCAGCCAAATCTCTACTGCTTTCTTGTCTGTTAGGGGAGAGGAAAACTTTGCCTTCCAGGGTGTCAATGATGGCGCCAAGGTGAATGAGTCACCTTGGTCAAAAATGAGAACCCATGTTGTTGTAGGGTTTGAATGTTCGAATTTGCTTGATTGATGGAAGATGCCAGAATAAGAATGTCATCCAAATAGCATTGAAGTCGGATGGACCTATCTCTGAGTGATGCTGCCAAGGCAGCCAAGACCTTTGTAAAAGTTCTGGGAGCTGAAGCTTGGCCAAATGGAAGAGCAATATATTCGTAATGGATGTTGTTGTAACAGAAACGAAGGAATTTGAAATGTGAGGGCCTAATTGGCATATGTAAGTAAGTTTCCGTGAGGTCTATGGAGGTAAGGACATCGTTCTTTCTGATGCTGAGTAAGATGGATTGGAGAGTGGTCATTTTAAATTTTCGGTAAACTAAAAATTGGTTTAGATGTTTTAAGTCGAGGATTGCCCTCCATCCCCTCGAAAGAGCCTCCTGGGGAGGTTGTATCAATATATTGTTCCTTCTGGATAAATCCAGAGGGGTGGTTGGAGGGTTCTGGGCCTGTGAGGTAGAGGATATGATGAGTGGTGAAGAGGTGGGTTGTACAGCTGCTCGTGTACATTTTTCCACCTGCCTTTCTAATGCCTGATGGTGTCTGCATGCGTCTTTCTCTGCTGCCTTAGAGGTCTTTTTGGGCTCCATGGACTTATCTCTATTTTTAGCAGTTAGTCTAGATCTGGGGTTGTAGTTGCTGGCCATGATAATGCCTTTGATAGATTAGCAATGTAAAGGTTATGAAATTAGGTGGCTGGAACACCTAGGGACCTACTCCTTTAAGGGGCGGGGGTCCTGGAATAAAGTTTCCACCATGCCTTTAGCAAATGTTGTCTATATATACACGCATACACACACATATTTAACAACTTAAATATTTGTAGAATTTAAGAATCAAGTCAATTTTTGAATAAAGTACTTGTAATATCAAATATGGAGACCAGAACACCCCCCTCCAGACCCAGCACCTATATGAGGGCACAGAGGTCTGTAACTAATAATTAGATCAGTTTAGCTACACTTATTGCCTGTGGAATCCAGCAGTTCAAGTCCTCTATCATCCAGTGGACTGGTGGTAGGAACCTCCCCTTCCCAGGTCCCCAAGAAGAGAAACTTTGTTGGGTAACTTGCCTCACAGGCAGTAACAATTACTCAGCAAATTTAACCACGTGGCCTTTAAAATGGCAGCCACCTCGTGGCAGAATGAAAATGAAAGCAGCTATCACTGCCCAGCCTGCTGAAAGCAAAACAGCTCAGCGGGAAGGCGCAGGGACTAATTCCCTGCCCTGAGGTGTTCTGCGGGGAAAGCCTCGTAATAAAAGGAAAAAAGGCTGCACTGTTTAAATTGAGGCTTCGAGCCTCGAAGGGACAGAGCATTTACTCAGCTGGCTGGGAGATTGGAGAGATAAGCCTCCTTGTTGAGAAGTTTAAGGCAGCGGCTCTGAAACGAGAAGCTTTTAGCCTCAGGGCAGATCGGAAACATAAGCCTCCGCGTTTATGAGGCTTTAGCCTTGGGAGGCTGGAACGCTCATAAAAAATGAGTGAAATGACTTTTGGATGTTCCTAAGGGTGGTGGGGGTAGTTGGTGACAGAAACTATGGTACCTGACCTGAGAAATAAATCAGCTAAATTGCCAGTGTTCTGTTCCAACCAGGAAAACAATAACACAACCTGTCTGAAGAAAGGCTGAGCTAAAACTGGGGATGCTAAGGAGGAGTCTCGTGGAGAAGGAGGAGCATCCACAAGTTTAAGCCCAGCCTTCCTAGAAGGGACTGAAGCACCTTCCCATCACTGGATGCTCTGAACACCTCATGGGAGAAGAGGAAAATATTAGTGGTTGACTTATTCCAGGGCAAAGTTTTTAAAGTACTTTAATATTCTACCATTTTTATCACATTGTCTCAAGCAAACATATTCCTTAGAATTGTTACTAAAAAGACCGGCATGATAGTAATATTCGATATATTACATTTAATATAGTTAGCACATGTTCCCCAAATTGATACCATTGCATCATGTAAAATTGCATTTAGTTTGCTACTTCATTTTGGTTAGGATACATTTTGTGTGTCATACTAAAATTTATACATAACAAAATTCTGATTACTTTTCAGCAAAATCCACTGAGAATTAAGGTGGTATTAAACTAGAATATAACTATGGCTTTACTGGATAATCAAGCAGTAATGCGCATATTCATAAGTCAACCAGACCAACAAAATTCCTAATGTTGGGTATAAATCATTTTTAGTGACATTGCTCCTTACGCTGAGTTGTGAAGCATGATGATATAGCATATTAAGTGCAATCAGATTTACACATCATATGAGTCCATACACTTTATTGATAACTCAAAATCATTTTCTTTTTACATTTCACAATGCATCCCACAGACATAGTTCAATACAGCTTAAACCCCACATGTATTTGAAATGTCCAAATCGCATTTGCAGCATCAGGGTACAATCCACTGACCCATGCACAGATGCTGAAGATTCCAAGCACAATGGAAAACAAGCATGCTGAGGGTTCCTTGTTCTGCCTGCAAGGATCTGAGGATCACACCATCAGAAATTCATTCCACAGATTCAGAGTTTGAGAACTGTAAAGTTGTTTACTTAAAATAGACTATAGGAGTTTGTGCAGCAAAGGAGATGGCAGAAACTGTAATGTGCAGAGTTGGTTTTAATAGGTACTAGTTTTTTTCTGAAAATTTAAGCTAATATACAGTATTAAGGAGCTCAAAAAAAAACCTCAGTTCATTTATCTAGTATTTCAATCACTATGGAGGAGCTGGACATCCTAAGCAGCTGTGACACACTATATATTTAATTTTATATTGGCAATTGATAAAATAGTAGAATTAAAAGCACAGTACAGCTAAACTTGATAACAAAAAGGCAAGACCTTTCAAGCTTGCTTTAATGGCAAATTCTAAACATTTCATTTTAGAAAATCTGCAATCAATCAACACAAACCAGAGACAGTGCTAAAGGAAATGTTTTCCATACACTAACCCCTCTTGAAACAACGACAAGACTATTCTTGGCCAAAGCATAAAATGTACAGCTCTCCAACTGGTTAGGTTAAGCTGTGCTGCATATGGGAGAAGCAAACAGGATTAGGTTTAAATCCATATGTAGCAGCTTACAATACTTAGGATGGACATACACACAGCAGTCAAGAACAGGTTATTTCCTCCCTCTGAAACACTGTTCCTAAAAAATAAAGATCTGTGAAATTGCACTGCAATGTCAAGGCTTGCTATTCCCTGACCCTCCCCATATAATCCAAATGAATATGCCTCCCATCCCCACTTAAAAGATGATTTGTTTTAATAAAAGTTGCTTCGTGATTTCATTCAGTTTTACGCTTCAGTCCAGGAATTTTAGCTTGAACCCTGTAGGGGGAAAAAAATATTGGTTTCAAAAAAGTCACACCTTGTTTTCCAAGTAACTGTACAAGAAAAGAAAAGCCAATCTAGATTGCTTACAATCTAATTCATTAATTATCCACCAGTCTTAAAAGTGTGCCAACACTTGAAATTGCTTTACACATCACAGAAATACTCTGTTTGCATCTCCTTAAAGTGACTGAGAATAAAATAGATCCAGACATATCAAACGACCATGGTCACTTATGACTATATGTGAACATACTTATTACAGTCATGTCTACAGCTTGGTTTGGAAGTTACTTTGGAAATTCCAATTCATTTTGGAGTTGCAACCACTTGCTCAAAAACCATTCCAAGCTGCAATGGAGCAACCACTCCCTGAAGTTCCAGCCATCATAGCACCACTATGGTCACTTGACTGCGATTTGGGCACTTAGCAACTGGCTTGCAATTAGATTGGTTGTAGGGTTCTGCAATCATGTGATTGTCATTTGCAATCTTCCCTCCTATCCCACAGCAAAGTCAATGAGAAAGGAATGTTGCAAGTCATTCCCATCTTTTCTCCAGAGAAGTCCTGCTACAGAATAAGAGATCTCGGGGAATTCCTACTCCATAGCACCACCTGCCTGCCCCTCCACGGTGTGCACCCACCCACAGCACCCCCACTTGCCAATGTGTCCCCATGGCCATCCACAACTATATAGCATCTGTTCATGGCCACACCTGTTTTCCAACACTTGCATCCTTGACGCACCTTCAAGTGCACCCTTCCATAGTCCTTGTGTGGGGTTCCCACCTCATCCTGCTTAGCAAATGGATTGTTATTGCTAAGCCATATGGTCATATGATGTTGCTCTTTATGACCACGTTGTTTTGCAATGAAAATTCTGGTTCCAATTTGCCACTGTAACCTGTGGACTACCTGTAGCTACAAGAACGCAGTAAACTTACTTTGCCATTCCATCTTTCACATTCTTGTTTACAAGTTCCACATAATGGTCAATTTGAGTCTGAAATACAAGTTAAAATATCATTTCAATTGGTTAGTTTCTACATCCTGGAAAACCATGATATGATTAAGACGAAATCAAGCAAACCACAAGAAGTTACACAAGTGGAAACAATACAAGATCTTTGAGTAAATCTTTTGATTGCAATTTATGCACCGAATGATAAACAGGAAGAATTCTATAGAAAATTACATACTAAGACTGCCGAACTTGACTATGCTAATGTAATTATGATGGGAGACTTTAATGGAATTGTGGATAATAGACTTGACTATATTGCAACAACAGTAAAACATAACAGGAAAACTCTTCCTAAATCCTTTTTTAAAATGATAGATGAATTAACTTTAAAAGACATATGGAGAGAAAGAAATGATAAATCTAAGCAATTTACGTTCTATTCAAATAGGCATCTATCATGGTCCAGACTGGATATGATTTGGATCTCAACAGATTTAATGTCTAGTATTCAAGAAGTAAATATTGAAACAAGTACTTGGGCTGACCATAACCCATTGACAATTGAATGGAAGGGACAAAGGAAAAGATCGAGATGGACATTAAATAATTCTATTTTAAAGGATAAGGAATTTATACAATGGATGGAGAAAGAATTGGCCTTCTTCTTTAAAGAGAATAGAAAAGAAGACACCTCAATACAGAATGTTTGGGACACAATGAAGGCCTATGTTAGAGGCTTGATAATAGACTATACAAGAAAAAAGAATAACAGGAAAAGGCGAACTCTTAAAGCCTTGGATGATGAATATAAGGGACTTGAAAAAGAATTACAGAAAATGCCACACAGAAAAGATGTTAAAATGAAACTGGATATAACTAAACATAAAATGGACTTAATAGAGAAAGAAGAACTGGCACAGAAAATTAGGAATGCTAAACAGAATTATTTTGAGGATGCAAATAAGCCAGGTAGATGGCTAGCATACAAATTGAGAAAGGAGAAAGAGTCGAGGAAAATACCGCAGTTAATAGACGACCAAGGTAAAATTTGTTATGGCAGCAAAGAAAAAAAAGAGATTATTTATGATTTTTATAAGCATTTGTATAAGAAAGAAGACATTGATGAGGAGAAAGTTAAACAATACCTGCAGAATGCAAATCTACCTAAGATACCTAAAGAGATTGAAGAAATGCTAGAAAGTAATATAACAATGATGGAGTTAAGTCAAGCACTTAAGAAACAAAATAATGGAAAGGCACCAGGTCCAGACGGGTTTCCTGTAGAATTTTATAAAATCTTTCAAGAATCACTGTGTATTCCACTGTTAGAAGTTATGAATGAAGTTATGTTAAAAAAGATGATACCTAAAACATGGTCAGAGGCTTACATTACACTTATTCCAAAAGAGGAGGCGGACCTACTGCAAATCAAGAATTATAGACCGATTTCTTTACTAAATGCAGATTATAAAATTTTTGCTTCAATATTAGCAGAAAGACTTAAAAAGTACTTGAATAACTTTATCCACCCAGACCAAAATGGGTTTTTGCCAAAGCGACAAATCAGAGACAATATGAGAGTAATTCTGGACACCCTGGAATACTATGAGGCGCATCCTGAAAAGCAAATGGCTTTGATATTTTTAGATGCTCAAAAGGCATTTGATAACGTGAATTGGAGATTTATGTTACTTTTAATGGAACAGATGGGCTTTGCTAGAAGATTTATTCAGGCAATAGAAGCAATTTATAATGAACAAACAGCTAAGGTAATGATGGAGGGAGAATTTACAGATCCTATTAATATAAGAAAAGGCACAAGACAAGGTTGTCCTCTTTCTCCCTTGATATTTGTATTGACTTTGGAAGTGTTGAATAGAAATATCAGAGAAGATAAAACTATAAAAGGAATGAAAGTTAAAAAGGAAGAATTTAAACTACAAGCCTTTGCAGATGACCTAGTCTTTATCTTGGAAGACCCTATAGAAACAGCCTCGAAACTGTTGGAAAAGATAGAGGTCTATGGGGAGGTGGCTGGTTTGAAAATAAATAGAGATAAAACAAAGATTTTGTCAAAGAATATGTTGTTGAAACAAAGGGAAGAGTTGGCAGAACTGTTAAAAATTCAAGTTACAAACAAGGTTAAGTATCTGGGGATATATTTGACATCAAGATGTAGTACATTGAAGGAGAATAATTATATTAAACTTAAACAACAGATAGCTCAAGATTTGAAAAAATGGGAGAACTTACAATTGTCATTAATAGGAAGGATTTCAACAATCAAGATGAACATTTTACCCAGAGTCTTATTTTTGTTTCAAACAATACCAATTAGGCTTGGAAAAGAATATTTTGAGGATTTAAGTAAAATTGTTTTGAAGTATATATGGCAAGGCAAGAAAGCAAGAATAAAGTTAAAGCTTTTACAGGATGCTAGATTTAGAGGAGGGTTTGGTCTGCCTAATTGGGAGTTGTACTACCAAGCTGCAAACTTGACGTGGGTTAAAGAATGGATAACATTAAGGAAAACCAGATTGTTGACATTAGAAGGTCATGATTTGTTGTTGGGCTGGCATGCTTTTTTATGGTATAAGGGAACTAAAACACAGGGGTATTTTAGAAGACATTATATACGGGAGTCTCTGTGGTTGAATTGGGAGAAGATAAAAAAACAGTGTTATTTGAAAATTCCAGTTTGGTTATCGACGATAGAAGCGTTCTCTTATCCTATAATTTATAAAAAGGAACAAACAGTTAACTATGGGGAATTATTAGATGAAAAGGGTGAACTTAAATCGATGCAAAAATTGGAAGAACAAGGTATACAGATGAATTGGTTTTCATATTTGCAAATACATTCAAAGTACTATGAGGATTCCAAAGCAGAGGGATTTTATGATAAGCAAACTGACTTGGATAAGATTTTGATGGGTACTGATGAAAAGGTGATTAAAAAATTGTATGGTTATTTATTGCAAATTAAGCTTGAGGAAGAACAAGTTAAAGAAACTATGATTGCGTGGGGGAGGAATTTTGGATATGGGATTGATTTAGAGAAATGGCAGAAATTATGGTCGCAAAATTATAAAATGACAATGTCTACAGCCTATAAAGAAAACTTGTATAAGATGTTTTACAGGTGGCATTTTCCCCCGACAAGGATAGCAAGAATGTTCAAGAACAAATCCGAAAAATGCTGGAAATGTCATCAGAAACCTGGTTCATACTATCACATGTGGTGGACTTGTGAGGATGCTAGAAAATATTGGACTAAAATCCACATGTGGCTGGAAAAAATGACAAAGAAGCATATAGACTTGAAACCGGAGTTTTTTCTATTGGGAATACTACCAGATACTTATAGTAAAGAGTTGAAATATTTGATTGTAAATGTATTGACTGCTGCTAGGATTGTATTTGCAAAGAATTGGAAAAATGAGAAAATTCCATTGCAAGAAGAAGTTGTAAAGAAAATTTTGGAATGTGCTGAGATGAGTAGATTGACTTTTGAAATTAGAGAGCAAGAAGATAGACAATTTTATTTAGTTTGGGATCTTTTCTATCAATGGTTGAATGATGAAATATTAAAATATAAAAGTTAGATAATAAGGAATAATAATGACTTTATTTTCCCTTTCCTTTTATTGGTTTTGATACTATATCTATATAATAGTTTTCTTTGTTTCTTTCTTTTTCATATTTGGGATAGAATTGGTATGATTATAAGATTTGTTTTAGAATAAAATATTTAAAATATAGTTATCTCATAAAGGCATGACCGAATAAAAGTTTAGTCAATTTTTTTTTCTTTAATAGCGATACTAGGATTTATAAATTTGTATTGATAAGAGTATTATATAAAGTAATTGTAATTGTGACTATGAGGTGAATGCACAAAACCAATGGACCAACCGACTTACTGTGTGTACAAAAATATGGGGGAGCTGATACTTTTATGTTTTGTTGTTGTGTTTTTTATGTTAAAAAAATAATAAAAATTTATTAAAAAAAAAAAAAAGATCTTTGAGTAAATCTTGATTTTTGATAACCACCAAATATTCTTGGAAATATTTTCATCAGTGTTTTGCCACTCCCTGCTTCCTAGGGCTACGGAAAAGTGACTGATCCCAAGTCACCCAAGATGGCTTTATGCATAAGGTGGGACCAGAACAGTCTCCCAGTTTTCAGCATTATGCCTTAACCACTACACCAAACTAGATCTCTGCACTTCATCTACAAAAGGCTGAGGTGTAAGCCCTAGAAAAGATTTAGGATGGTTATAACTTAAAAATCTCAATACGTTACCCACAAAGGGAAAATAGCTGAGATACTGCAAACCTTGAACACCTAAAAGTTATGGATTCCTGGTCATTAGAAAGTTTATCACACCTGCCTTAGTTTATTCAATCCCAATCATTCAGATTTGAATTTTGACATATTAATTCTTGGTTGCTCCACAACTGTGGTGTTTTGTCATTTGAAAAATATTGAATAAACAGATTTTTCAAAGAAAAAACTGATAGCTATTTCATCAACCTTTTCGATTTTAGAAGCATGAAATTATTGTGATATTTTAACTACTTTTTATTTAGCATTTTATACAAAAAATATTTAGGTTTATGACTGTGCAATATCTTATTACAAATATACTGAAATAATGCTTGAAGATATTTCCATTTCTATCATATATAGAGGAAGTCATTTTTACTGAAAAAATAGGATTCTTGGGGGAAAAGTACCTTGTAAAGTTCTGAGATAAAACATGTCAACTAGTTACAAAATACTTTCTTAAGTTCACTTAAGAGGCGCTCAGCTATAATAAACAATGTAAAGGAAGGGATCCCTAATGTTGAAAGAAGAAATCGAAACCAGATGAATTTTCTAAATGATTCGAGCTGTTCTCAAAACAAAGGAACATGGCCTCTTTACTTTTAATATCAATCCTAGGACTGCCACATCTGAGGCACAAAAGTCAAGATAACCACTAGATAATAGCAATGGCATATGCTTGTTTGTTTCAAATAGTGGCTGCTTGGATTTATGTAGCCCAGATAGGATGATCCTCTTTAAAAAGGCCTTTCATGTCTTGTTTAACTCTTGCTAAAACTAGAATAGTGCAGCCATTGTCCTTTAGAATAGTAGAGGCCACTGTCCTCTAGAATCTTCTTCATCTTTTCATATACAATGTATTCTTTGTATCCTTAATTTTCTAGTTATCATATTATCAATAAGCATGCCACAACTGCTTACTCACCTGGTGCTTCTCATAAATAACAGGAATACTGAAAAGTGATATCAGCGCTGGAAGAACAGAAATACACTTAACTTAAAAATATGAAAAACACCTGAAAGTTATCGCAAACTGGGCACCAGATTATGTATGTGGATGAAGTACTAATCGTTGTTGTAACTACAGATAGACAGTTGTGTGAAAAAATATGTATACCCCATATCAATATTTTATCTTCACTCAAAATGGACTTTCAATAATTTATTCAGCAAAAATTAACATTAATGCCATTTCCTTTTGGGGATTGTTATTTTCCTTAAATCTCTAAAGTGTTACAAGTACTTTCATGGGATTTCAAGTTTCAACTTCAAAATCTTACAAAATTTAGCATCCTCACTTGAGATCTCGGAACTGGCAACCTTATACAATTCCAGCTATTGTTTTTTTGAATAGTTTTTAGGTGTTGCCCATGAATGCAGATTCAGATTATCTTTAACTATTCAGATTATCTTTAACTATTACACATGGTCCTCATTTAGTGATTACAATTGGACTGGCAACTCAGTTGCTAAGTGAAATGGTCGCTATACTTAGCATTTTACTTCAGCTTTCCTTTGCTTTAAGCTTTAGACAGGTTCAATTCCAATCAGGCAGGTGAGCCCAAATGGTGGGAAAGATTTCCAGAATTTGTCTCATGAGAAAAAACAGGTAAAAGAGCAAATCTTATAGCTCTTTGGAATACATACCTTGATTGAATAATTAGCAAGAGGATTAATCTTTTGTTTATATTTATTGGAGAGGAAGGGATTACCAAAGAGTTAAGTAGATACCCAATTGTGAACATGCATTGAAAGAGATGTGTTCATGCCAGTTCCTTGCCTAGTACTCTTGTGCTTCATGGGTTCAAGCCCTTAGGAGGCAAAAAATGTCTTCACAGTGAAAATGATTAGGATTTTGTCATGCAGCAGCAGGAGCTTATGTAATTAAGGTCACAGAACTGAGCTTCTTGTAGAATTCTTATAGAATTTCAGTTGTAAGTTGCGGTTGTGGCCAATTGAGATGCCAGATGACCGCTCCACTCAATGACCACAATCCCAACTCTTCCCATTGTAGTCACTTTACCACATACTGTCGGATATTAAGCAGACAGAGCAAAAGAGCTACCTGCTGAAGGAGGGCAGACAACACTCCTCCTGTTTGCTGAAGTGAATTCCAGCACTGGGCTGGAAAAAAAAGGTTCATATCTTCATAATCCAAGCTCTCAGTGCTAGTGTTCCCTTCCCCTCTGTGCGCAGAAAGCTCGGTCCCAAAATCCAAGCAGGATTTTGTCATGGAACATTTGTAACATGGAACATTTGAAGCCAGGCTGGTTACAAACACTCCATGCCAGAATCCTGCTTGGCCTTCAGAATAGAACTTTTCAGACAGCCTCCTTGACAGCAAAAGAATGTTTATAACAATTGTAACTTTGGGCATGTGTCATAAGTCCCATTGTTCATTGATACTGTACTTTTGGTCACTGAATGAATAGTAGTTAAGCAAGGACTGCCTGTAACTTGTCCAGCACTTTCTAGGGATGCACTGTACTATGAAGAAAAGCAGCTCAGGAACAAATAAACTGGTTTCAGCAATAACCTCTTCTCTCCATTAGTGGTGGGTGTGGGGGGTGACTCTGGCACAGGACAACCAGTACTGACTGCAATGACAAATGCATGTTTGAGAAAAGCTCTTTCTCTCTCATTTGTAAATATGGGCATAGATTGCAAAGTTACTTTTTCAACAGTGCCATAACTGCAGTGCTGTCCAAGGCAGTTGCCAAACAAGGATTATATGTAATAATGTTTTATTTTCGAGATTTCCCTATTAACTTCCCAGAGTTTAGTAGGCTCATCAGCCATCAGAACTATCATGCGATTTACTAATAATAGTTTGGATTTTGTTTTCTATAATTAAAAAAGGCGAACTCACCTAGTATCAGCAATGTCAAACCATTGAACAAGGCACCAACGTAGGTAAACACCCACATCAATACTGCAAACTGAAACAAAAATAAATAAATGAAACTACACCGTATGGAATATCTGCTTAAAGCTCAAAGCAATTCTGCAACTTAACTATATTAGCAATACAAACTTAAGGTGCTTTGGTGGGCTGCAAACTATCCCAACTCACAAATTGCCTAACTTGGTATAAATAATACATTATAAAATTCTGGTTTACTTTCCAGTGTTATTTTGATACAGCCAAGGTCTGTAAAGTCCACATTTAAATATATTTGATGCAAAAGCTCACATCTTTTGCTTCTTTTTCTTTTAGTTCCCTATAGAACAAGTTGCAAAAAGCCACAAACAGCAGAACTGCTTGCTTAGTTTGTCTCAGAGCCAGTTTCACATTTTACATTGTCCTCAGCCTAGCTGGGTGATACTTTTTTCAGGACTAGTCAGATTAGTTATTATACAAGAGTTAGCTGAGTTCTACTTACTGCCAGATGTCTCCTCAAGCCAATCTGTTTCTCCAATTTATACAATTCTTAAGCTAAGATGGGAAATTAAATCTTTTACCTTTAGAGAATCCACCAAATCATCCACTAGGAATAGGCGCCGGAGTTCCTTAATTGTGTTGTTGAGATGACCAGGCACAACATGGCTGTATTTTTGAACAAGCTCCTCAGACACAGTGACATCTCTATTCAAGTAAGCACTGGAAGAGGAAATATGTTATTTTCAATACACTTAAAAACAGAGTTTTTAAGCTCTCCAAATTCTCAATCAGAGCACAATGAAAATGAAGGAAAGGTTACATTACCAAAGAATTGTTCAGATGGACAAGCCTTTAGAACATGTCTCCAATAAATATAGCATCTGCCCCCCTCACAAATTATTCCAAACTGTTAAATTGCAATCTTTGGGTTTATTTCCAGTAACTGACATATGAAAGTAAGCCTGACCATTTAGCAATTTTTTTTATGCATTAATGGAAAACTTAATTGAAATTATCTTAATCAAAACAAAAAATTAAAAATACAGTATTAAAACTAAAAAAGAACTTTTTAAAAAGTATGCATACATATGTACTTAGCATGTTTATACACACACGTTATCCGTTAATAAGAACCATATTAATATAGCTAACAAATTTTAATAACCAACGCTTAACTTTATGTAGTCTTCAAAGTTCTCTGCTGCTGTGATAGTTTTTTTTACCCAAAATCATTTTCAAGTACTTTTAAATAAAAATGCCAGATAGGAAACTTAATTTAAGAGCCTATCATCCAATTTGTAGCACTGCATCAGTGATTAATTAATTCAGGTTCTTGTTATAAATATGGTGTGATTTTTAATATCCTAATTGGAGATGTTAATATAAATTGCATAATATAACACTGGGAGTTATACGAAAATCATCTGCATTGTTAACTTAAATGGTTGTTTCCTCTCTAGATAATTGTTGTACAAGTCTTGTTTCAAAGGGGTCATGGTACAGCAGCAAGGGAAAAAACAACTTTGTTCATTAATCATTAAGATCTGAAGCAACAATCAGCAATCTATTAATATCCAAGATGTCACTGCATCCTCACCCTCATTACTTGAAATATTATGAAAATGAAGACATTTAAAAATAGGTATCTAAATTTTAATTGTTGACCTTAGGCTTTGTCTCAAAACTCCCATCATCTCTTGACATTAAAAGAATTAGCTAAGCTACCAAGGTAATTAAAATTTGGGGAAAACCAATAGACTCAATACATTATTCCCATTCTTTCATTGTAGAATACATCCATTTATGTAATAAAATGATTTGCAGAGTGGATCAGTGACAAACTAAGATGTATAAAGCAAAAAAGATAACCAATCAGTACTGGCAAAGCAAGAGACCCATTTAAAAATATGGAAGACGGCACTCATTCAATAAATAACCTGTAAAATTCATGGGAACCATGTATGTACAGTCCTTGGGACTGCACAATCCCAGATTATCTATTGACAACACAAATTGCTGTGCCTTTGACATATGTTAGACATTTTAGCTTTTACTTATATTTATTATTATTATCATTATTCATTAAATGTTTATACCATCCATGTTCCCCACAAAGTGACTCTGGGCAGTTTTTGAATTATAAAACTAATAGAAAAATAACTAAAATATTAAAACATTAGGCTCTTTCTCTAGCCTTCTGTGTGAAAGCTCACCAGTTGAATGGAAATCCAGTTACATAATATTGAACATAGTCCAGACTTCAAAGTAAGTAGTTTACTTTCCAACTTCAAGTATTGTTAAAAAAATCCAAAGGCCATTTATCTCCCGTTCTACAGCAAATATAATTAATTACAAATAGGGAAAAGCACAAATATTTACCTAAAGGGATGGCCTTCATCTGACTTCTGGACTGCTTGGATAACTCCTTTGTATATTCTAAAACTGATGGTCACTGACAGGAGGGCCAAGCCAATATAAGCAATCACACTCACGATACTGAACACTGTTAAAGAAAGAAGCAGGAACAAGCTGGCTCCAAACACCACACCAGTCTTCTTAACGTCTCGCCAGTATAGGAGGTCAACCACTAAGAGAAAGTTAAAGGAGAGAAGATTAGAATGCAGTCTCCAATATTACAGCATAGCAACGAAACCTGAATGCGTTATTAACAGAAATGTAACAACAAATGTACATGCATAAACACCCCCACACTTTATTCATGCATTAAAACTTGTACAATATTATCCAGTATAATGACCAGAAAATGATAATCTGAGAAATGTGAAGCCATTTGTGCTTTGTCTCCTTCATACCCTGCTGAGATAAAAGAGAATACTCAAACACCATATTTGCTATCTACCAGGAATACAAATGATTACTTAACTATTTTTAAAAAATTGAGGTCTAAACTAGCATCCATGGAAACTCCCCCTGTACGTTCTCTGCTTCACTTTATCCTGAGCATAACATGCAATGGGGAATGGCATACTGCAAAGCTAAATCACTAGCCTGTTATCACTTTTACTTCTCAGTATATGCTTGGTCCCATCAAATGGGCTCCATAAACTTTCTTAGAAAATGAAAACAATGTGAAGCATGCCTAATCTGTCCAGAAAAAAAGAGCATGCTGAAGACAGGATACAGACGCAGAATTCTAGTGAACAAACTACGAAGAGCCAGTTTGGTTTAATTCTAGCAACAGACTAGAAAGCAGGAGAATATTCTCCAGATGAGCTGTTCAGAGCATCCAAGCATGAGGTGCTTCTGTCTCTCATCAGAAAGCCTGAGCTGATTTCTGAGGACACTCCTCCTCGAGGCTCCTCCTTAGTGTCCCCAGTTTTTTGCTCAGCCTTCATTCGAGACAGGCAAATTTCTCTTGGCTGGATTCTCTGAAAGCAGAATTTTTTTAAAAAAAAAGTCAGATCGCAGCCTTCTGGCTGCAAAAAGGAAAGTCACTACTTTAAAATCATCCGATATATAACTCCAGACGCCGCTTTAGCCAATTTGGTTTAATGATGAGGGCAACAGGCTAGAAAGCAGGAAACTATTCTAATCCCACTTAGCAATGAAAGCCAACTGGGTGACATATGAGTCAGTCACTTTCTCTCAGTCCAACCCTCCTAATAGGGTTGTTGTGGGAAAAATGGGAGGAGGACGGTGTGTTGGGTATATTTGCCACTTTGAGTCATTTCTGGAAAGTAATAAAAGTGGGATACAAACAATCAAATAAATGGCTTCCATGGCTTCCAATTTCAAAATGAGCAAGCACCTCTCTGGGCCACCACTTTTGGGAGCAACAACATGTTTGCAAAATTGTGTATGTGCTCACCAGTATAAGACAACTGGAGACCTTTATTTTAGGGAAAAAATGCTTACATTTTAAAAGAACATTAACCTGCTTCTCCATGATTTGTGAAAGGTACTAGCAACATTGTAGTATTCCCAGAAAATGTGGAACTTCAAAAATGCTGATGATGATAATAACAAGGCTGCTTTTTTCTCATTTAATATACTTTGATTAAGGCAAACTCACACTGAACACTGTATTAGATAATAAATGTTGGAAACATTACCTATAGACTACAGTATGCAAAATATATTAAATTCAATAATAATATCAACTAAGTTTTGGTCTCTTTCCTAAAACATAGAAGTATTGACATTTGCTTATTTTTCTGAGTACTCTAGCCCTTTTATTTTTGCTAACTTCATACATAATTATTTATTTTATTTCATTATAAAAAACAGCCCTAGAGGGCAATTCCAGTATGCATGATACACACATTATTGAAAAAACAAAATTACATTTTATATGTACACATTACACACACACACACACACACACACACACACACACACACACGTGTGCGTGTGTGTGTGTAGACAGACAGACAGGCAGAGTTTTTTTCTACTTTACACTCAACACAAGAATTTACAGGACAGCTATTTTCAAATTCATGATGACATATAATTAAAATAAAGTATACTTAAACTACATTGCAGAAAAAAGCATCATTTTTCATTTCAAAATGGAAGCTAAATGTGCCCCTGAAAATGAAACCTGCTTATATTATTAGATTATTACTGACTTATTTTATTTTTATTTTATTTATTTTGATTTGTCAATCGCTTACAAGATAATAAATATAAGTATATACATTGTTATGAATACATGAAATGGGTACATATAAGAAAAATAAAAAAACAATAGGACAACTCAGAGGCAAAATTCAAGACAACAAAATTTTCATTCCTTCAGGAGATAAGCAATCAGGCCTTCTCTGGAATAAAGATAGCTAGCTACATTTGATAAGCAAGAACAGTCATGTGGTATATTTAAAAATAGCATTGCTACAATCATGCCTCACATGCATTGCTCATCTATTTAGCTTTTTTCTTCATTTTTCAAATAAGTGTCTTGCAAAACATTAATCTCTTTATTCTAAAGTTTAAAAAATGACTACATTTGTAACTGCAATGCTACTACCTACCCCATTTTCCCCTGGCTTAATAAACACTTATACCTCTATGAACACTCGTTAACGCTCAGAAGTTCATTTCACACAAGCCAGAACCCCACATGCTCACCACTCCTGGCATCCATTTTAGGGCTGTTGCCTGTGCTTCTACAGGAGATTACTGAATCTTTCTACTTCCTGCTAAGGCACACAAAAGTGGTTCCAATATATGGAGCTGCCTCACACCAAAGGTGAGGAAACTCCAGACTACTCGAAATATATTAAAACTATTATGCAATGGCTAATGCCATTTTAGAAACAAGAAAAGCAGTCACTATGTATTCTATTTCAAAAAGGAATCATACAATGCTCCCTATACCAGAGGAGAACTATACAAGCTAGCTGGAGACAATGTGAATTGTAATTCATGCATATGAAAAAATCCCAGTTGAGAAGAGCTGATACCAAAAAGGCTATATTTTTATTATTGCCTCCAATTGAGAGGACTATGTTTGAGAGTTATTCCTGAATTATTTCTATATTTATGAGGAATGTGTTCGGTTGGGAATCCCTCAGTAAACAATGATTCACTTAATAAACATTATGTAAATAAAATACATAAAATATTCTATTCAGATAAATTTAGATAGCCTACAAAAAGTTCTTAGCCTATTTTTCAACTTTTTAGAAAATATGAAAAATGTGAAAGTATAAATCTTTCAATATTCTAATCATGTAAATAAATGGAGTAAGATTTGGATCTGTCTTTCTGCTCAGCAAACAGAAATAGTCTGCCTTTTTATGGATTTGGCAGTGCTAAATAAATCCTTTTTTTCACTGAAGCTGGTAATCATGTGTGAGACTATACTATTTCATGACATCACAATGGGCTATTATAAGTTGAATGATCCCTATGTGTTGTAAACACCTTACTTTCCTATAGAATAGGGAGTCCCCAACCCCCAGGGTCACCTTTGGAACTGAGCTGTGTGCAGGCAAATGTGCAAAGCTCCATTTGTGCATGCACAGGATTAGGTTGAGCATGTAAACCTATCACCTCCCTTCCTAGCCGCCTAACACTGGTCCATTCAGCCAAAAAGGTTGGGGACTGCTGCTATAAAATGCTAAGATTGTCATAATGAAAAGTTCTTATCTAATGCTGCCTTTCTCTACCAAGGTTAGATTTCCTTCAAGTCAGGTAATCCTCCATTTATAAAGATTGATTTGGGATAAACAGAACCTCAGAAATACTGGAAGCAAGGTTCTGCTTCTGCTCTGTTATGACAGTTGAATGACATCAGTCAGCCAGCCAGCCAGCCTGCCTATTTATTTCCCACATTTATTATTTTAAAAATAATTTGAAGTGGTGAACCCACCTAGTATTCCTCCCTCCCCCTATTTTCGCCACAACTGCAAATATGTGAGGTGGGTTGACCTGAGAGTGACTGGCCCAGAATCAGCCGACTAGCTTTCATGCCTATAGCAGTATTAGAACCACAGTCTCCATGTTTCTAGTCTGGTGCCTTAGCTATTAGACCAATTTTCATCTATGTCACAAGAGCTCTGAATATATTAAATTGGAAAGTAGGAATGGAAAAGTATCCAGCTCCTTGGAGAAAGAGATGGACACATGTTTATAATTTCATGACAACAGCTAATATTTTACTTATTTTTACTTGACTTTTAAAAAATATTTTTAACAATCTTTCATCTTGCAAGAAAATTAAAACATTAAAAATGAAAGCTAAAGATACTAAGAAAAAAATGCACCTTATATTTTACACTTACCAATAGTTACCAGCGAATTAATTACTATAATATAAACAATACATGGTATTATTGCAATGTATCTTGCAAATCTCTGCCAGAACATATATTGCTGCATCTTTTTACTAGTAGAAAAGTCCTTAATGTCCCTCTTCTATCCATTAATAAAAATTCTTAATTTCCCATCCCTGTATAAATCCAATTTTGAAACTAGATAATACAGAATATTTTAAATCTTCAATTTAACGTAGAAATAGTAAGAAAGTAGAATTTGTTACAGCTGCCATTAAGATCACATGAGATTTTGAATCACAGTGCCACAGTGGTTGGAATTCAGTATTGCAGGCTAATTCTGCTGACTTCCAACTGCTGGCAATTTGATTTTCATAGGCTCAAGGTTGACTCAAATTTTTGTTTCTTTGCATCTGAAGTCTCTTAAACTGAGTTGCATCAAATCAATGATTTCCTATATTCATTCATTATAAACAGGAAGAGATCAGGAGATAGTGTAATACTGTTGTGGCCCACTGGCAGCTGGGGGAGCTGCAAGCAGTCGGACAGTGAGGAGGTTGGGGGAAGAACCTGAGCCTGTCCTGGAGGCTGAGGAAGACTCAGACAAGGGATCTATGTCAGAGGCAGAGATGGGGCCAGGACAGGCTGGCAGTCATCAGCTGCCTTCAGGCTCAGACAGCAGTGAGGCAGGGAAGCAGCTGGAACCGTTTCCCAGCCTTGCATGCACAAAGCTGCCAAAAGGAAAGAACAATTACAAACTCAGGGTCGACATGGGAGTAAGGCCACAGGTGGACAATGAATGGCCCCTCCCATAAAGATTAAAAGAGAAGCAAAAGGGGATGGGGCTTTT